CTTTAGTACAAAAAGATTATTCTAATTTCATATTTTTCATGTCTACTAAAATTTGATTTCTGGAGCCAATTATTAGTTAAAAGTTAGGGAAATCTTTTATTTGAACAGTTAACTTGTAAGCTAACAAGTACAGCTTAAAACATAAAAAGGTTAAAAAAATTAGAAAGTTGATGTTTCTTTAGTCTCAAATTTCCGAGGCTGTAGAATTTTTAGTGTTGGAACTTTTATGTTAAAGGGATAGTTGAAGACTGTCATTTCACATACACAAAGCAGGTCTTCTGAAGATACATTTTTTATGTCATACATCTGGCAACTTAGTCGTCTAGCTCAGGCAGTGATGAAGACAGGTAAGTCCACAGTGTGATTAAAAAGTATGAATACACTAAATTAAGGTGACTAGTTTAAGTATTCTGGTGTCTTGGTTGCATTTTTTTAGATCTGAAAGTTTGACATCAGATAAAATTTCTTTTTGAGAATTTGTATTTATAAAGATACCCTAAGATGGAGTTGGGTTTAAGAAATGCTTTAAACAGTTTAATTGAAATGAAGCAAGGTTCAGTGTTCTTATATGAACTGGAAAAATACAACTCAATTTTGATTTTCTATTAGTCCTTGTCTTTAGGGTATTTTAATAATGGGTAGCAGAAATTAAAGGTGTGATCACAAAGGTGTTAGTTCAGGAATGGCATATCAAAAGGGCAGTTGACAGGGAATTTTTCTATGTGGTTGAAAGTGAAACAGTATTTTATTACTGGGATTAGAAATAATCACTTTGGGCAGAGAAAGCTGAAAATGACTAATATCCTTCACCAAACTACTAGACTTAAAAAAATAATTTTCTCACATTATGAATTGATACTTTAAGAATAAGTAACAGTCACTTTTGTAAGTCCTGGTGTTTCTGAGATTGGGACCTAGAACAGTCATCTTAGAGGGCAGTTGGGTGGTAACTTAATCGTTCTGGGTCAGACCAGAGCTTATGTCCTCAGTTTTTGACTTCCAGGGTCAGTCTGCAGTTGTGCAGATGGTCTGTATCTCATGGGTAGATTTATTTTTGAACTATACCCTGGGTCTTGTGTTCTATTGCTTGTCTTCATCTCCTTCAGAGCAAGGTCTCTGGTCTTAACATTTCTTGGGGAAGCTAGGCTGACTCTTCTTAAAGAACTGAACAAAAGTTAAAGTAGTCATAGAAGAGAGGATGGCTAGTTCTGTTTTTTCTCCTCCTCCTCTTTTTTTTTTTTTGGTACTGGGGATGATTGAGCCACAGGAGTGTTTTACTGCTGAACTACATTCCCAGTCCTTTTTATTTTTTTGAGAGAGGTCTTGCTGAATTGGTGAGGCTGGCCTCAAACTTGGGATCCTTCTTCCTCAGCCTTCAGAGTTGCTGGGGTTATAGGCATGTGCCACCATGCCTGGCTTGTTCTGTATTTTTTTTTTTTTTTCCTGAAGACAGCATTTAATGCATGACAAATTACTATAGCTGTCCAAATACAAATGCTCCATAGAATTCTATTTTTTAGTCATAGGATGTAGTAATTCAGAGTGAGTAGGAATGTACTAGTTGTCAGTTGATAGTCAAATGCTTTTGGATATGCCAGTAGTTAAAACTTGACTTGAACCTTTTTTTTTTCATTAATAATTTATTTTTGTAGTATGTCAGGCATTTTTAAAAAATAATGCTTTGATATTTTAAAAAATAGTAAACATTGGAATGATTTTAAGCCATGTTAAACTTCTAATTTATGTCATTAATTTATGGAATCACATTTCATTAATACACCTTTGCTTGTCTTTTTGACTTTGAAGATCCAACCCAGGGCCATGCATGGTGCTAAGCTACAACTGAGCTGCAGCCCCAACCCAATATAGCTTGTGGATTTCTTAGGTACCTATTTACATTTTCTTGGCTTGAGGGAGAGGTGTCGAAAATGGATATGTCTCACATGAATTTTGTTCCATGGAGCAGTGTAGTAGTGAGGCTCTAGTAGGGTTTCAGATGCAATAGGTACTTGACATTTCAGCTGTTACGTAAAAAAATTACTTATTACAACTACATGCCAAAATCAGTAGTGCTTATCTTTTTGGCAAAAGTTGCTGCCTGAATGTTTCCTTCTGGAAAATTTGTCAGTCAAATCAGGGTCTACTCCTGAGCTCACCTTTTTATTGCACTACAGAGATCTTTAGAGGGAAGCCTGATTGAGACTTGTCATTTTATTTTGTGGAGAGATTTTTTTGTTTTTATTTTTGAAGCATATTGAATAGTTTATCAGAATCCTCTTTACTGGTAATTTGAACATCTGATTATAAAGGCTACGTGAATAGTCTAGCTTAATTAAAATAATAATTATATAAGTGACCTAAGAGCAGAGAAATTTTCACCAACTTCAAATTCGTTTGGATCTTTTATTACTATTCTGTTTCTTTTGAAGTGTAACATACTAACCATAAAAATATTTTCCAGTTTAATTTTCAAAATTTCATGCAAAGTAATGTTTAAGTAAGCATGGTGTTTATCATTTCATTGTGTCTGCAAATGAAAACCACATCCTTTCTTATTCAGTTGATGGTTTCTTGCTCTCAGAAAGTTACCTTGTTCAGTACTATCTTGCGTATGATGTTTGAGGGTTTCAAAAAGTAGCATCAGGGTCTGGGGTCATGGCTCAGGGGTAGAGCACTTGCCTGGCATGTGTGAAATGAGGCACAGGGTTCACTTCTCAGCACCACATATAAATAAATAAAAATCCATTGATAGCTAAAAAAAATTTTTTAAATGTGGCATCATAATTTCTGGTTGTTGGACTCATTTAGGAAATGTATAGAAATTGTAATGAAATAGACTTGTGAGCTGGGTGTGGTGGCTTACACCTGTAATCCCAGTGGCTCACACCTGTAATCCCAGTGGCTCAGGAGGCTGAGGCAGGAGGATTTTGAGTTAAAGACAACCTCTGTAATTTAGTGAGGCCCAAATCAACTCATTGAGATCCTGTCTCTAAATAAAATGTAAAAAGGGATGTAGTTCAGTGGTTGAGCACCCCTGGGTTCAATCCCCAGTACCAATAAACAAACAAACAAATAAGTATTGCAGAGGTTACTAGAATTATTTTAAACTTGAATTGGAGAGAAATAGAAGGCTTATGAGGAGAGGTGACATGTTGGCATGATTGTAACAGCAAAGGTGTATGACATATTTTGGTGACTTTGTTAGAGTCACAGCACCAAGGCTTGTAGGAAAAGAATCTGGGAAGTAAATATTAAAAACTTTTAAAAGTCTTATTAAGGATGTGAAACTATTTTGTCAACGCTGAGGAGTCTCTGAACATTTAGAACTTGAATTTGGTACTGGTTATGTGACTGATGGAGGGGAACAGTGAAGGATTGTGATGTGGCTGTCTAGATTGGAGGATTAGGTACTGGGTGGACATTGATTCTGCTGACAGATGAGAATGCAGAAGATGAGGTTTGGGGGTAGAAGTATGTGGTGGGCAGAGATGATTCAAGTTTTAGACAATATTGAAAGCTATTTGCTATTTTGTGTTACTGAACATTTTGGAAATTAATGTTAGGAATTTGCTATATATGATCCTGTATTCTGCCCCTTGGTGTATTTTGGATGTTACTTCCTTTGTTTTATTCCATTATGTTCTGGTTTTTATTTCCATCTGCTTTTATTATTTTTATTTTGCAGTTCTGGGGATTGAACCTTGAGCCTTACACGTTAGGCAAGAGCTCTACTGCTGAGCTACACTCCCAGCCTTTGTTATCTTTTATCTGTTAACTGAATTCTATAGATCTTGAATTTGGTATCAGGAATACTTAGTCTTGGGATTGTGGAAAAGCAATGTTGATAAGATCTTCATTTGTCTTAAAGTTTGTGATGACAGAATACTGTAGAATGTGACAAGTGGTGTATACTGGTTTAAACTTGAGTTGTTTTATTGTTCCAGGGGAATATTTTATTGTTGATTTCTCAGAGTTTTTTTGTTTTTGACTTTCTGTTGACTTTATTTTATAGTGATTAGTGGGTACAAGGTTAGTTTTTAAATATGATATGCTGACTTCTTTTAGAGTTTTTCTGAAATTCTCACAATTTTTTTCTGGTGATTTATCACAATGACTATACAATTGGTTCAGGAAATTTATTAGATAAGACTTTGAGGGCATTCTTTCTATAAAAATTTTCTTCCAGATTAATTTCTTACAAGAAAAATTTCAGGAATGATTAGTTTTGTTTTCCTCATAATTCTGACACCTCTATAGTTTTCCAGTTTTGGCAATATTTCTTACTCCCAAGATAGGAATTTGGCTAGCAAAACTAATGTCAGCATTGTATAAACAGGTTAACAGATGTTGGCCTGAGATTTTTTTTTTGTCATTTTAATAATTATACTAGGAACATTTAAAATGTCAAAATTCAAGGGTTTCCTATTATAAATGTTTTATGCTCAGATCAGACAATATGGAGTCTTTGAGGTTGTGAGTAGTGTTTAAAAAGGGTTATTGATTTCAGAATTTGATCAGAATTTTTTTCTGATTGCTCTTGTTGCGCGCGCGCGCACACCCCCCCCCCACACATATACTGGTTTATACTTGTGTGTGTATAATATGTGTGTGTGTGTGTATAAATATAAAATACTTATGAAAAAAAACCCAGCATTTTCAGAAGTTAAGTTGAAAAGTAAGTTTGTAATTTTGGAGACAATTTGCATTGTGCATGCTGTTCTATGTATGCAGCTTGTTTGGGTTCTCTGGCAGTTACTGGGTGAGTGACTAGTGGGATAATCTGTAGCAACATCTGTTATATGCCCCAGTGTGCATCTAAGAGAGTGTTATATTAGATGACACATTGTTTCTTTTTCTAATGAAGTTAGAAAGTTTCTTAAAAAAATTTTTTTTTTTTAATGTAGCAACATTGGGGGCAGAAAGGAAAGTATGAAGGAAAGACTTATATATATATATCTATTACTACTGCTTTTGTACAATTAATTTTATCTTTCTTCTAGTCCAAGTGGGAAGAAGTTCAGAAGCAAACCTCAGTTGGCAAGGTACCTGGGAAATACGGTTGACCTCAGTAGTTTCGACTTCAGAACTGGAAAGATGATGCCTAGTAAATTACAGAAGAACAAACAGAGACTGCGGAATGATCCTCTTAATCAAAATAAGGTTGGTTAATTTATTATTGTACCTATATGCTATTTCATATGCTCCCCAAAGAGTATTTTATGTTGTATTAATGACTGAAATTTTGGCCATCTGCACCTCTGTCCCCTCCTCTCCCAGCAAAACTCTTTGACTTATAAATTGATTATTTTCCTGTTATTCAGCAGTACCTACACAGAGAGAACCTAAATACATCATGCAAAGTAGAAAACATTTCAGTATTTCTCTAGGCCAGTATATATTACACCTTTTGATCCATTTAGATTCTATTTACAGAAGATTTCTTTGTTAGTATTAATTGTCCACTTTTTTTAAAAAAAAAAAAATTGGGTGCAATAGTGGCCCACACCTATAATCCAGCAACTCAGGAGGCTTAGATAAGAGGATTGAAAGTTCCAGGCAACTTAGTGAGACCTTGTTTCAAAAATAAACAGAAAAAAGTGAAGATGTAGCCTAATGGTAGAGTTCTCCTGGGCTCAATCCTTAGTACTACAAAAACAAACAAAACAAAACAAAAAACCACAAAAATGCCCAGCAAAATTCTTATTGCCTAAAAAGAGGAAAAATTTTAATGTGTGGAAATATCCTTACCACATATTTCATAATTATAATTTTCAGGTTCAAAGTTTGAGGAAGGGCAATTTTATATTGACTTTTGATGTTGAAGATGTTGACTCTTGGGCATAATCTCATCCTAGTACTGTGATTGCAGTTTTTTTTCCATTAGCTCTGAATTTTACTGAGCTGTTGGTTGATGGTTTATTGTATAGCAATGTAAACAGTGAAATTATATTCAAAAACCCAATATTTTCTTTTTCTTCAAGAGCAGCTATAAACATAAAACCCACAAGTTGCCCATTGACTTGTGTAGTACTTATGAGATTGTTTTTCTTGTTTTTATTTTTTGTGGTGCTGGGATTGAACCCAGGGTGTTGTTACACATGCTGGGGAAGCACTCTGCCACTGAGGATACCCCCAATCTTTTCTGAAATTGTTTTACCAGATTACTTCCATCAGTAAGCCAGGAGTTGAAGTTAAAGTCACCATTGTGGATGCCTAAGTGGATGATTTTAACCAGTTGATTATCAGTTGTTAAATTGTTTTTCTATAACCTCCATTGTGTCACACCACTGGTTTGAAAGAAATGGAGGGAGAAGTCAGGTTTTTTCTTTCTTTGCATGTGACTGCTATAATTCTGTAGTCTGCGTAGTCCTGAATGGATTTTAGGAATCCAGAAGCAGTGTAATAGAGTAGAAAGGACTTAGGATTCTGAAGGCATGTTTTGGTGGACTGGCTCTGTTCCTTATTAGTAGATACAGGCTTAGGTAACTTTCTTAACTTTTGAGCGCTTTAGGCTTCTCATTTGTAAAATCAAGGTAAGAAAAATTTTCCTTTAGCATAATTGTGAGAAACACATGGACATTTGTGTAAAAACATTTAGCCAAGTATTTGACCTAAGTTAATTTTTTTCCTTTCCCCATTGACCCTTCTCTAAGCTGCCATCTACCTGAGCATTAAGCTACCTTGGCAAACAGTGTTACTTGGTGTCCAGTGTAGTAAACTTTCTGACCTAAGCTGTCTTCTTCTCTGTGTTTTTAACTTTTTCGGAAGGGCATGGGGCCTCTGCTTCATACTTATTTTTATTAATAATTCAGCTTAATAGTTTGTTTTATGATAGTTGATTTCTAAAAATTGATATGGAGCGCAGAATACATTGTCTCACATGATGTCTTATATTGATTTCCATAGGGCATTGGCATTTTTGTTTAGAGAGGCAGAATGGGAAGGGGAGATTAAACTGTTTCTGCATTGCTTAACTATGGGGTTAATTTGAGTTAATAGTTATGAAGATATTAAGAAGGATGAAAGATAATGGTAGGAGAATAGGGAGCTCAAGTTAGCAAAAGTTGGGACCATGTATATGTGAAGGTGATATGCCTATAAGCTGTGATTTATTTTGCTTCTTAAATGTATAAAAGAAAATTAAGATTCATATTTCTGAAACTGCCTTTTGGAAATTCTAATCACAGTGCGGACTCTACCTTTGGAAGGGGCTCAAATATTTACGAAATGAAAGCCTTCAGATTATCCTATTTTTTCCACAATCACAGTTTAGCTACACTTAGTATAATGTGAAGAGTTACTTCCTTGACAGTTATAGTTTATTAAAAACCCAAAACTAATTCGTCTCTTTAGTTTGTGTGCACCTTTCTGCTCTAGCTGCGCTGGACCACTCATCATCCTGCACCATGGCATGCACTTTCAAGATTCTGCTTGCTCATATGCTGTTTCCTCTGCTTGGAATGTGCTTCCCCCTTCCCTTCCATCTGGCGAACTCCTCCTCATCCAAGGCCCAGCTCCATTGTCTCCATCTCTGGGAAGCCTGCCCTGCATCCTCCAGGCAGAATAATTCCTTCTTCCATAATGCTTTCCTGATGCTTTGCCATTGTATTTGTGACTTTGTCTGCTTCAATTAGACTGTGAGCTCCATGAGGGCAGGGACCATGTCTTTTTGTTTTTGTATATTTAGTCCAAAGCCTAGCACACGGTAGGTACTTAATAAATGTTGTTTGATGTTTTTTTAATATCCACCTCATTCTAGAAATTTATAGAAGTAATAAAAGTGTATTAAATAAATTAATGTACCAGACATTATTTTGGAAATGGCTTTCATTTTCATTGTTTTCTGAAACTTTCTATGTGAATTTTTTGAGGCATAGTCTTATTTTTGTGTGTGAATTTATTTTAGTTACATAGTCATAAAGTAGAGTTTCTCATTTTTTTTTTAAGTAAGCTCTCTTGGAGTAACACCAACATTAAACATCTCTAATAAGACAGAAAATATGTGTAGCGAAATAAACTGACTTATGTCTTTTAAATTATGATAGTACAATATAAAGAAAGTTGTGAGATTTAAAATTATTAACAGAACTCTGAGGTAGTGATTTCCTATACAGTTATAAGCCTAGCCCAAGCACATCATTAATTGTGTTGTTTTTCAGGGTTTTAAAAAAAAATTTTTTAAAGAATTAGAGATATAGTCAACAAATAAACTTTGAAACAGGCTAACTTACAGTTTAAGTTGACTAATTATAAGCCAGGATCTTAATGTATCTTCCATTATCAAAGGTGAGTTTACTGGTGATTAGTAATATTTTCAAGCGTGATTGGAAAGATAACTTTTGAAGATCTTGTAGATTGTGTTTTAATTATTTTAGGATGGGTGAGTGGGATGAAATGGGCATTGTTTTTTGGTTAATAGATATTACTGTTTTTCAGTATCCATATCTACTTGTCTGAAACTCAATCTTAACTTTACCCTGAAAATCAATTCCGTTCTTGATTATGGTATGTCTTATTGATCTTGTTGCCAAGGCTATAATTATTTCTAGGTAACTCCTGTCTCACCAACTGACAAAGTGGGTTGAACTCTCAAGTAAGTTCCTGATGATATTTACATTGGGTTAATAAAAAAACTACAGAAAAATTTCAAGGTCATCAACTCAGAAATGGTATTCAAAGTCACTAGCAGCTTTTTAAGAGCATATTCCAAGAAGAAGTTATAGAGTATCATATCCAGTGGAATTTTCTGTGATGATGGAAATCTTATAGCCATAGCCACACGTGACTGTTGAGTAACACTGTTAGTGTGACTAAAAAACTGTATTTTTAGTGTTCTCTTTAAATTTAAATAGCCACATGTGCCTAATGGCAACAGTATTATAGAGCACACTTCTAGGGCTTTGCCTCTCAGTGTGAATAAAGCAATATACTCTTCTCTCCAAAAGCTAAATAATGTGTAGGCATTTATACAGGTTTTGATTTTTCAAAGAGGAAATGTTTCAAATTTTCAGAAATTAAGAAAATGGAGATTAGAAGCAAGGTAATAGTTTCTAAGAAAATTTAATTTGAAACACTGTAGGATTGTATAAAGAATAGTATAGTGGTTCTGGATCAAGACATGTTTAGGGGACTTAAAGTAGTTTGGTTTTATTGCTAGAAATTCTTATTTTAATGTTTCAGATGTGTAAATATAGACCAAATTCCTTGTGTTTCCAGTTCTTGACAACATGAAAATTTTATAAATTAAAATGACAAAACTAATGATAATGAAGTTCTCTAACATTAGTGTGACCTATGATGTATTTTACAAATTGCTTATGATATGAATATGGTACAGAACAATTTTGATTTTGGCTTGACAGTCCTACTAACAGCTTGGAATAACAAGCTTGGAAGACAGTTCTTTCATCACATGTATTTAGAAAAACAAAACAACATATTCTTTTGAATGGAATAAATTTTTTAAATCTCTTATTCATTTTTCATGAATTATCTTGGTGTGAGGTAGATTATATATGACTGTACCTTAAGTTCTCAACCATTTAAAAGATGCTTATTTTAATTATTTTCACAAACTAATAAAAGTAAAATTTTTTAGGGAGCTCAGATATATCTTGGGACAAACCTGTGCAGTTTGAAAAAAAAAATACCAACTTAGTTGTTGGTGATAAAATCAGATTTGGATGATGGATATAGATTGGAATGAACTATGGAGACTGGATTTGAGAATGGATGAAACTGGAAGTGGATTACTTGGACTGTTTTAGTTTAGAAAAGTAATGATGGCTTGAATTAATGTGTAGCAGGAGGTGTGGAAGTGGGAGACTCAAGGTACCTGATGATTAAGATTATAGAGAGAGGGAATTTTGCTGATATCTGCTAAAATTCTTATTTTGTTCATTGCCATGGTTTGAATGTGGTTTGCCTCATAGAGGTTCATGTGCTAGTTGCTTAGTCCCCACAATAACGGTTTTGAAGTGGTGGAATCTTAAAAAAAGATGAGGCCTCCTGGAAGGCAATAAGATGGTGGAGCTCTAGTCTCATGAAGGGATTAATCTGGTCTTGTGGAATGCATTGGGTCTTATCCCAATTCACAAGAGAATGGTTTGTTGTTACTTATTTTTGGTAACAGGGATTGAACCCAGGGGTGCTTAAGCACT